ATACCTCAGCATTGCCTTTGTCGTGGCATGACATCGCGAAATACGTGACGAGGATTATCGAACTAAGCAACCAGTTGAGCCAGATTTTTTAAGGCGCAAACGTGTAATTCATGTCCCTCTTTAGTGTCACTGTTCAAGGCCCAGCTCGTATTGGCGAGCACTCCAACTCCTCCAGTCGCATGTTGCAGGAAGCCATACCCCTGTTCAATGTTTGTTCCTTTCACGAGGACCCCTAATTTTTAGCCTATACGGACATGTTGGGTTTCCGATAATAAAGGGTATTTTTTGATAAACAGAGACGAGGTGAGAATACAAATGGATCGTAAAGGAGACTGCTCTATCGCTCTATATGTGTTATATATATATATATATATATATATGTATATATGCTATTGGGTATTTTGTGTTACTATGGGCCTTCGTGAAAACACTTATACTGTCAGTATTTGAAAGTGTCCCATAACCCAAGTTGAGTCTGTTTTGGTATTTCTTATACCCGTACATTCTAGGCAATGACTGTGATTCATTATGACAATTAGAGTTGAAATAACAGTCGTTTAGTAGTCAAATTACCTTTCAATGAACTATTTCTTAAAAATGGTTTTTAAAAGTTATAAATTGTAAAAAAGCGAGTGTAGGGCAGTGTTCGGAGGCGCCTTGCTATACACATAGGATCTATCTCCGCGCCCCAGGCCCACCAATCTCTCCATCTATCGGTGGTGAGCAAATTGGTGCCAGACTTATCTGGGAGGATAATAGCACTGCACTGACTCGGTACATCAGTAGACCACGGCGGGTCATAGTAAAGGCCACATGTGCATTCAGTCACCTCCAACGATGTTTAATGAAGTCGAATGCATGGCGCGTCTCTCAGAGACTTATCAAGGCGGAGAGCTTTATCCTTTATTCATCTTAAAGTGTGGAAGACGGTTATCCGTATGTTACTATTCACATGACATCTTTGTTCGCCGAACTATTTATTGAGTACAAATAGAGTGGTAAAGCAGCCTCTTAACAGAAAAATACACGAGGGCAAACAAAGCGTCGTGAATTAAACGCACTTTGTGCACTTCTCTCCCTCCGCGCGTACGTAGTCTAAATGCATCTTTGACGTTATGTGTTAATCGTAAATTCTGACGCCAACGTGTTCGTATTGTATTAAAAGTGCAAACCACCACTATTGTCCTTACTGATTTAAACAGTCTTAAGTAGTGATTTAAGTAGTAGATTTAAGTAGTAAGATTTAAGTAGTAGATTTAAGTTAAGTAGTCCTGAATGGAACTAAGGCAGCGAAGTTCCACTGAGTGTTTAACAGCCAGGTACCAAGAGAGTTTTCATATTCGCTGCATGTTTACCAAAAATGTGAAGGTGTTCGACATTTTCATAAGGAAGCTCAGCTAGGGGTGAAGTCGTGCCATGTCAGAGCTCGAGAAAATGGTTCCCACATCGGAAATGTGATGTTCTTACTATTGACAGCTTAACTGGGTGTTCTGATGCGGAGTGCACTAAGCAGCGATGATGCGATGTGGTCATGGACGAGTAATAATGCAGTAGGTTCGATAATGACAGCAATACTAGCACACTTAAGTCGTGTAGGTTCCAGCTTCTTTCTTCCTTTCGTTTCACTGTTGATCGTCGATCAATAGGGTGATCTATTGGTGACGTCCACGAATATCGTTCCGTATTCCATAAATCCTTTGCTAATCTACAGCTGCAAATACATAACGTTGACGTTAACCGCAAACAAATCCGCCCATTTTCTACGTCGTACTGGAGGACGCCCACACCAGCATTCTGCTGATCTTGTCGCCCATTTGGCACATCTAGTTCTTGTTACTTGACCGGCCCATCATCTATTTTTCCGTTTCGATGCGTTTTTTCCTGGCTATCGAAAATGGGGTACCTTTTGAAGATCTAAGCTGCGTAATGGAACTAGACAATGTGTGCGGAGTTGTATTTCAGAAGGCGTCCTTTCCTCGTTCTTTGAGTTATGCGTGAAATTATAGACGTGGTTGAATGCCAACTGGCTTTTTAGCTCCAATCCAAGGAACTGAGAGGGACTGCCGAGTCATTGGCCCGCAGTTGATCGGAAGCTCGCATGAATGGATCGTGTAACATTCCTGTTCTTCAAAAAATTCTTTTTATATCGTTTTTTACGTAGGCATGATGGATGAGTTTGGCACAATCAGGATTCCGTTCGTTTTCGTCGAAATCAATTTGTGACCCATGCGTTTTCATGAACCTGACTTTCGCTGTTATTGTCCGTTTCTTCTGGAGTTACTTCGTCCTAGAATAACACTTTTATAATGTACTGTACAAAGGCAACATAGGATCCGCACAGTTATAATGCGATAATAATCTTCTTACAGATGGACCACGACCACAATCACCACCATACTGATCAGTCGTCCACCTACACTTCTTTGATAGGTGGCTCCGCCAATTTTCACCATTCAATAGATAGTAATGGCTCGCATGGTTCCGCTCACCCAATGGCGTTTCATTTCGGAAACATCGAAACGATACTTTTCGACTTTTGGAAACCAAGCAATACCGGTGGTAGGCGCTCTAATGTTTATAGGTGTTCGTTCTCCTTGATAGCAAAGTATTATATAAATCAAAAAACCGGCATTTTATAAACCTCGGCATAAATGACCGATATATCTACATATGTGTTTCTAAGAACCGCCATTGTTACAAATAGTACGTCCAGACCGAGAAGGGCGAAGTCGCCGGAACGTTAGCCATCAAACAACAACAGCAGTAACAATAAGAACATCTATACCAACCACGCATAAGCTAAACTAGCGCAGTTCGTAAGAACATATATGTAGATATTATCTAAATGTTTTAAAATCTTTTTCTTCTTTTTTGTAGTTTTATTTTCCACATTTTTACTCTGTTAGCAATCCCTCCTAACGGCTTACCGCCTCATCGGCTGGAAGGTGTCTCTGGGTGTCGGGGCTGCGATGTACAGTGCCCCTGTACTGTACCCCTTGGCATGGTCTAACAAACTGAGAATGAGTCCGGCGTTTCCAGCAGGAAGCATAGCTAAGAGTATAACAATACCAGAGCCCACCAACGTCCTGGTATCAGTCGTATGGTGGCAAATCTCCCTCTGATCCACAAGGGTTGCGACTGGCTGTGGTGGTGACAACCTGCGGCAGATTTTGGCCAAGCTGACCTCGGGACTCCAGGGAACTACAAGAGATAAACCAGCAAAACTCCGAAAAAGTAAAAATTATGCTGGAGTCCGCACAATACGCGAAGATGGGCTATCGAAGTATCTAAGCATCCAAATAAATTAGGAATCACAGCGCCAATTTTCTTATTTTAAATATCTCACAAGCGTTCTATACTTGCTTGCGTCGCAATAAAATACTTCAAGTATAAGGTTTCCTACTCGCTAGTTCGTGAGTATGAGTTTGCAAGAGAAGAAGAGCAAAAAAGGAAATGAAAAATGTCCAATCTAAGTGATCGTATACTGCTAGTTGTTACTTACCAACAACACGTGCTTTGCGTTTCGAATTCGAACCGCATATTGGGTGAACGCATCGTGCATGAATTCGCCATATTCCGCTGTTTCCCGTTGTTGTTCTTCACCTACAAGAACATCCGTGAGAGTCTGTCTGTTCTCTGTTATAAATTGACGATCTAGTGGTTTACATAACAGTTGTTTTTGAGGAGATAAGAGCGAATGATACAAACTTTAGCTCGAAAACACAAAAACACGCTCATCACCCGCTTTTCGCCACGGGTAGGACGGCCATCAGCTCACGGAAGACTGAATGCTCAATGTTCTTCGGTATAGCTGCCACATTATGCTGTACTACAAACTGCTGTCGGACGATACACGCAAATGACCTTCACTGATAGATTGCTATTGTGAAAGAACAGTAGCCAATACAAGCTTCTCAAAACATTCGACTGAAATGTTTTTCCAGAGCTCATTTAACCCGTAGCTTTTCTGTCGTTCGAGCTGAATCATCTTCAAGCTCTAAATAAATCCCTTGGTGGCTGCACTTAGACTTCCACAGATCGGTCCCTCAGCAGTTTACTTAGCTTGATCTGCTGCAGCTCTGGGTATATGTACCCAGTTTATGGCTGAATTTCGCGTTGCAGCGGTTGATCATTGTGGTGGTTACATTGTAAGCTACAACAAATTGATATTGAAATAACATTACAGAACTGTGTAATGCATCAATTCGGCACCACGGAAAAACTTTGAGCTTCAAAGCAGATTGTTATTAGTAATGTTTCTACCTAAAAATCATACTTGTTCAAGGCTATGGAAACCGATGCGATTGTTGAGTATTCTTGATGAGCGACATCTTTTAGGAATAGTGTTGTCGTGTGTGATCGTGGTGGCCATGTGCTTCGTAATGGAGTTTATGCGTTTTCTACGGGCCTACAGATCAGCTAAGAAACCATCGGTGATGAAAGAGCGAATTAGGTGAGACTGGAAAAGACTTCTGAATGGCTATGACATACATCATCGCTGTGATTTTCTGATAGGTCCGGATTTCTTCATTGGAACAATCTTCCACCGCTCTTGACTTTGCATCTCATTTTCGAGTATCTTTGCAGAATGTCTAATCTTTTCATTGGTAGACCAAAACGAGGTCGATATCAAATTTTATTCGGTTTAGAGCTTTAGAAAGTAGAAAAAGCAAAAGTAGAAAGAAGAGTAGGCATTGATTATTCATACCCCTGTTAAATGAAGGCCGGTTTACAAAAGTATTCTTTCTAAAATGTTGTTAGAGCACATCAGTGCTACTAACGAGTGTAAGGAATATTCAAAAAGAAAGACGCAAAATCTTCAGATTTTTTTCGGAAGGAGGGGAAGATATGCGAACTTGTGGACAATTAATCGAAAAGCATTGATTATGAGATATCGGCTTTAAATTTTAAAATGATTCAGACTAGAGGTTACGGTATCGAGCTTTGTATTATTCGACGCCGTTTTACACTTCGCTCAACTTGCCATCTCATATCTACTCATGCTGATTTTCATGACGTTTAATGTATGGCTCTGCGGAGCGGTACTGATCGGCGAGGTTGGTTTTCGACTGCTGTTCACAATTCTCTTCCCCTACCTCGAATTTGGTGCCTTTGCCAACTCCTGTTGACCTAATGTGATGTTGCCCCGAATGTGACCTTTAACACTAGTCTCTTTAGTGCGATTCATTCCTTTTCGATGCAAGGTTTTCTGTATAAACCCGAATAAATAATGAACCCGCGGTTGGAATGTTGAAAAACTGAATAAGTTTTGATGTCTTCTTTAGCCATGTTATGTTTTTCATAATAGCTTTGTGTATCCATGTAAACAGGTGCGCGTGCGGTGCAGGTCGGAGACACCCTGCAACACACACGTGGAATCGATCCCCACTCCCATGGCTCTCCAAGCCTGCCATCCCTCCGAGGTCAGCAAATTAGTACCAAAGTTGTCTGGAAGGATAGCAGTACTGGCTCGATTCATCGATAGGCCAAGGCGAGTCATTGGAAAGGCCAGATAAGCATTCAATCAACGCCAACGATGCAGTGCAGTGAAAATACACTATAACGATATAGTAGATATGAAGAAATAAGTGGTTTGCTAGAAGAAAGAAAAAAAGAAAATAAACAGTAGAAAACGAAGGAAATTGAGAAACAGGTTATCTTAAGCCGCAGAAAACACCAGTGAATCCACTACTTTCGACCGATGCCATTGTCATCATCCCTGCAAACAATTTGCTCAGAATACATTTGAAATTATCTTTCTACTTCTGTTCAGCAAGCACGAGGTTGTTCTTCACACATTTCTTTGTGAACCGTCCCTATCAATTTGAAAACATCTGTGTGGACAGAACTGCTAGTTCTCTCAGTGGCTCTCTAAGTGCGGTCGTGTCATCCTCAACAGACAAAACTCCGGTCCGCAGTTGTTCGCGTTTTCTTTATTTTGGACACCATTATTACTGTAAACAGGTCTCTGTGTCTCTGTGTGCTCTGTGTTAGTACTTTCCTTCGTTTAAACTTTTGCGAAGGTCAAATGTGACTCGACAAAATCACTAAAAAATTTTGGGACGTGGTTCTTGAAACACCAAGCAAACCAAACATTTTAGCCCTTCATGAGAATTGTCCTCCCACATGACACAATGAGAAGCTATGATTTTCGATTTTTGTTTCTTTGGTTGTCCATTCTAGTGACAGTGTTATTTCAGTGGATTCAAATTGTATTCCGTTATCGCCAAGCATTCATAATAGCGGAATTCATCCACAATAATACTGAGATTTTTGCAAAACTGGAACCCAAGGCAAGCTTCGTATACCCTGCCATGAAAAAATAATGGGCAGTAAAGAAAAAGCTAAGACATCTCCATTTCGACTGCAGTTTCAGCTTAACTCTATTCAATGCTGATTTGCGCTCATAGATCATTTCCGTCGACTGATGATTGCTGATAGCGCAGCTAGAGTGAAAAAACTGGCTGAGAATAGAAAAGCAGAGCAGTGGTCTCAATTGAGGAACCAAGGACGTGATCCTCCAGCATGGTAATCGCGAGTTCGAAACTCAGCTGAGGTTCCGAGTTTTGCAGATATTTTAGCATCATTGTGGTTGCATTTCACATAATACCGTATCTTGAAAAACATTAGGTAGTAAGGAGAAAAGTTGAACATTTACTACAGTGTGTGTGCTCCGTGTTCTACTACTCCTCTAAGGATGCATCATCGGTACTTGGATGGCCCTTCTTCACTGGTTGTGCGAGCCCAAGGATGCATCTACTACATTTTATGGTAAAAACACGACATTTAAAACCTGTGTGGAAAATGAACCAGCAACACATTTACGCAATTTCTATACGTTTTTGGGATAAAGAATACATTAATCGGCACTATCATCTTTGAATAACTCAGTGAATCCATTACGTCCAAAGCGTTCGGTACAAATGAAATTTACAGCTAATGTGTATGTACAAAAATTTAAAGTGCTAATGCAAAAGTTAGGGCGCGTGGCGCAGTGGTTGGAGGCGCCCTGCAACATATACGTGGGGTCGTTCTCCTTGCCGAATACGGCGCATCCCTCAGAAATAGATCAAAACCGGGAGTTCTATCCTTTATCCTTTAGTGCAGAAGTTAGCAGCTACTGGAGCGATATTGCATCAAATCTGCTATCGCTCTGCAGAAAGTGAATCTGGTTAGTGTTTTTGTGTATCATATGTTATAGCATATGTGTTGTCATACACTTTTGCAAATGAAATAAAAATGTGGTGCTGACCGGCGACAAATTTGTTCAACACAAGAAACTACATCCTTTTCCTATACGGAATTCTGTCGTCATGGCATTCTCGGCGTTCATCACGAGCCTTTCTTGAGAGGGCTCATCATGCTTATTGATATTCCAGTTAAGATGTGTTTTTCACAACCGAACCTCTCCACTTGTGCTTTTGTCACTTTGTTAAGTTTTTTTGATTACTGTTCCTGCGTCGCTTGCACTTTTCCCTAGCGATGCGAAAGTTTTATATGAATTTTCTATAAGCATTCATACAACTTTCTTCACCACTTGAACTTTATTCTCAGAGAAGAGGAACTTGGACAAGGAGATGTCGATCTCTGAAGCCCTTTATAATGCGAAAGGTCACAGGCCACAAATGCGACAGCATATCGTGACGATCAGTAATGCGGAAGGAACACTTCCTGTCGAGTGATGACAGTATGGAGATTGGCTTCGATGTAGCCAAATGCTCTTTCGTAGTCGACAATGAGAAGGAGAAGGGGTAGGATAGTTAGCAAGACTGTTTCTATGACCTCATTTTTCCAGGCTCTTTGTTTGTGTTCGCCCTTAACATGAGCACTTTTCTTCGATGAGAATTTACAAGAAATTTCAGTGAGTACGCAAACCCATTCCTGTGAGAGGTGTGTAGGGACAGAACGAAGTTTAATTCTTACCCTTCTATTAAATAACTCATACGTAGTGTGACGTCATGACCGATCTAAACATTTACTTGGCCAGACTTTCCCAAGCAGTTCACAGTAATTCTTCAAAAACTCTGTTAACGATGAAATAAATTTTCTTCAAGACGTGCTCTTCGTGTATGATTTAGTTGTAACTTCATCGACTTTAATAAATCGTTTCCAACTCGTGTTTTAATAGATTTTTAGCAATGAAGGGAGAACATAGAATGCCCTTACCCCGGAGCAGTGGAATGTCCAAGATACCAAGAAGTTAACGCAAGGATAACGTCTTTCTGAATTAAGCCGTTAGGGAAATAGATTGTGATTATGTCATTTTCGGCTATTTTCTTACCTCTGAAAGGCGAGTTCACAAGAAAGATTTGAGTTTGAACAGGAAAGGACTGTGAAGTTTTCGACCACTTTCACAAACCATTCCCTTTTGCGTTGAGATTTTAGACAAAACATAAGAGGTTTCTGTGGCAGTTTATCTTAGTTTGACATACAAAGTATCTCATTAGCTCCAGAGGTTGGTAGAACGTAAATTCATAGACTTCTCTTCACGAAGGATTTGAAAAGCAGGATTACAAACGAGGATTTAAAAATCGCATCACTGGGTGAAATGGATTGCATCAAGCTTGACTTTTAGAACAAGTGATACCAGATCCTTTCTAAGTCAATGCGTGGCAGGTTTCTTCTCCCCGCAGCCAACAACGTGTCGAGCCAGCCAGTTCGACCTGGTGTCGAGGTCGGCTCTTGAAGAGCTCCTTACGGTTATGCAGATGTTGAGTGAAAAGGTGGGATAGAGTGATGTTCAGTTGATGAGATATCGATGGTGTATTGTTTTATGTATACGGAGGCGCTGTGTTCGTTCAGTTCTTCATAGCCGAGGTAACTCTCTTTTTGAAGTTTTGAATTAGTGGTAGTGGGTCGCTTCAAAGGCGTGTCGTCAAAAACACTTTTTTTGCACTAATGGCGGGTTTTCAATTAAAAAGAGGGTTGGGAAGCACTGTTTTTTCAGGTTCTCTCAACTCGGCATTTTTCCAAGGGATATTGATGCATGGCATGAAGATGAAAAAGTGCAAGTTTAAATGAAAACTAGTCTTTAAATAAGGCAGTGTAGGTTATCAAATGTGTCTCAGTCTTCATTGTGACCTTAAACACTCGTTAATTTCGAGCGATCTGTAAAGTTTCGCCCATCTGTGAACCGATCGGATTCACTTCCAATTTACACTACTCCATAATGAATGAAGTTGCTCATGACCAGAAGATTGTTTCCTTTCAGAGCCGACAAAGAATTCTAGGATTCCCACCGCCAAATCCAGGCGACTGGCCTTTTTCTAAAATAAGGACACGTAAGAAATAATTGAAGTGCCGTTCTTTGCTCACTGTCGAATATTCACCTTTGCCGCTATTATGGTTATAATGTTGAAGAGTACACTTCGGTCGTGCCATGCTACTCATCATGTATCCCTATACCAATCCTTCGGAGAACTGAGTAATGTGAGGAGCAGAGTTGAAGTGGACAATCCACCCCGCAGAAGTCCATACCGCTATCAGCTGGCACGGAGTTTAAAAAACCGACTTTCCTCTAACTTCGGTGTGATTGATCAACATCTATTCTTCCATCGATAAACTAACACGAGACCCCGATAACCGAATTTCTATCACTTCGGGATTAATCAAATGACTCCCTATATTCTTGTTGAGCAAACACGAGGTGTCACTTTATTCCTTATTACGGTAAAGCTGACGTTTCAGGGAATTTCGACTTTTTCAGAGCCTGAAGAGATCAAGTTGGTTCTTATCTGCTTACCTCCATAACCAAGAAAAAATTACTAAACTAGGATTTCAATTGCATTGGAAAAAAATTGCTTCTTGACAAACTCACCGCTTTCTACGAGTCTTCCATTGAGGACCGGAGACCACGTGGAGGCCAAGCGCACAGAGTTCTCATGAAAGCGTAATGTACCTCTCCCACATTAAAATATCAAAGCTAAATACTGTTATACCTTTTCCATTTTTTGCCTACTATAATTTCGCGGCAGGTTACTAAGCGAAATACAACCACAACGTTGCTGAGATATTTGCAAAACTCTGGACCGCAGGTGTCTATGGTGGGGAACGAACGCGCTATTGTCCTTTCCGGGGAGTAACGCGTTCACCACCACACCATGCGGGTCCTTCGTTTCGCCTGTCTCTC